GAAATATAATCCTACTTTATTCTAATTATACTTTATTCTGAAAGGGTAAGCTCTTTCAGTTCTTCTTGTCAGGATTAGATGCTAATTCTGTCACTTAGGATTACTTCCTCGCATGAGTTTCATCTATAATCCTGTTCTATACTTCTCTACTTCTACCTAAGCGCTTTCTTGTGTCTACATTTATCGACATTGCCATTGAGATACATTTTAAGTGTCTCTGATGATGACTGCTAAGAATATATGTATATAGATACACATTTAATGTCAAAACAATCTGTGGCACATCTGCCACTGGTTTGCCATCTCTGCTCTAAGCTGTGCAAAGTACTGAACATTGATATATTATTTTTTTTTTTTTTCAATTTTTTAGTACATTTGAAAATTGTTATAATGAGCAAAAATTATGTTAAATGAAGCGATTTGCAGTTTAACAACTTTTTAATATTCTTATCCACTTCACTTTAAGCTAAATTTGATATACTAGTATGGCTTGCCTCTCTAATGAATATAAATGTTACTGGGGAATTTTGCTTGATTTTCTATCACAAATAAATTAAATGGGAAATAAATTTTGTAAGAAGAAAATCCGCTAAAGTACAATCAAAAGTTTTACGTGATTTTTTCTACTAAATTCTGCAATTTTAATATTTTTTTCCCTTCGTTTATTTGTGGCAAACAATTCGATTTTTATTGCATATAAACGAAAAATGCAAAAAAAAAGTAGAAAAAAAATAGAAAAAAATATTTAATGGCCAAGAAAATTATTGGCAAATCCTTAAGGTATTTTTATGTTAACAACAAACATAAAATGCCAAATACCAAAACATATTTTTACCACTAATAATGCCAAAAAAAAAATAAAAAAAAAAGTCTGGTATGAAAATATATTGAAAAGCTTTCATGTTTGTCTGAATATAAAAAATTCAAGTCCAGAGAAAAACAACTGCGAAATGCCAAGAAATTGTCTGAAATTTGCTAGTTTGTTGGATGAGGGGGGGAAGAAAAAAAATTTCTTATGCAGCGCACATTTTATATAAAAATCAAGACGTTAAACGCAACATTAAATGCCAATAGACTTTATATACGTGTACACGCACGCACCTACCAATAAGCGACCATAAAAAGGATATCTTCATGATAGTGCCATCCATGCCTGCTGCCTGCCTGCCTGCCTGCCTCCCTGCCTCTGTATAATCTCTGTGCGTATCTAACGATTTTATTTTATTTTATTTTACTTTACTTTACTTTACTTTATATATAAAATCGTTAAAATAAGTAGCAACATAAATTGCACGCGCTATTAGCTACACCGAGCGGTAAACAGTAGAAATGCGTTAATATTTACAACGTCCACAATGCAGATCGAGGATAGGAAGGTTAGCGTATGGAGGGTATGAGCTGTCAGCTGGCATTGTGGTGGTATATGTTGAATACCAAAGCAGCAGCAGCAGAAAAACTTAGGAAAAAGCATCATTAAATAAATACATTATCCCTGAACAATCAATGTCAATACACAAAATATGATCCACTAAGTTAAAAAGCACTGAATCAGCTAAAAGTGCTTGTGTTGAGCTTTAGGCCAATTTTCCACAGCTCCACAGTTACTGCCACGCCAAAAACAAAAACAAAAAAAAAATATTGTAAAAGTACAATAACCTCAACAGATTTAGTGACTCAGTTCTTAAGCTGATACATATCCTTAATGTTAATATTTTTGTTTTTTTTTTTTTTTGCTTTGAACGTCAAGCAAATATTTTTTTTTTTCATTTTTGCTTTGTATATTTAATATTCTACTATACTTTACCTTGCCCTTTATATTCATTTTTTGTTGTTTTTTTTTATACTTTTTATACCAACAATTTTATAACCATTTTCTTTACGCTTAGGCATCGTTATATCAACCGCATATCAAACCTCAAATATTTACAAGCCAACGGAAGCAAAAATACGACGTGTACAAACACCGCCGCAATATGTTGCCAGCAACAACAACAACAACAATGGCAATGGTAATGGTGGCAGCAACAACGGAAATAACACAACCACCATTTTGACTGGCACAAATACGTCAACAGCTATGACAACATTGAATTTGCAACAACATCAGCAACAACATCAGCAACAACAACAACACCAACAACAGCAGCAACAGCAACATCATCATAATTCCCGACAGGATATTGTAATGAAACCTGATTCTCATGGTAAGTAATGAAGAGGAAAAGAATTATACAATTTAATATTGATAATAATGGCATTATTGCTTGTTTTGCCTTAACAATACACAATGTTAGATACATTTTCATATCTAAAATACATTACTTAGCATAACGTTACCTTACCTGAACTTACGCTACGTTACGTTATGTTACGTTACGTTATATTACATTATTATTATATTAAGTAATGTAACGTCACGTTACGTTGCATTACGTTATGCTATGTTAAATTTAATACTTTTGGCAATGTCATTATCGTAAATGTAACCAACCAAATGAATTTGTATTCTTGAGCTCGACAACAATTACTTTTTACTAACAATTTTACACACACACACATACACACTAATATGTAAATACTTATATACATATATATATAGGTAGTCTTAACCCTATAGACGTATGCAATTGTACTAAATATTCATTGGCATTAGACAGACAGACATACGCACTTATAATACTAACATTAGAAAACGTAACGTACTAACACTTAAAGATACACACATACATATATATATATACACATATTCACCCATACAAATAACACAAACAAATAAAGTTTTTATTTAAGCTACAGTATATCCTTGTGGAATAACAAATCCTTGTAGATACTTAGATACTTAGTTTGTTATAAAAATCAAATAATCGTCTTATTTCATAAAGCATATATGGTATATAGCATACATATATCTCTTATACGAGTATTGTATCTGCATCTGTTTTGTGTATTTATAACTGTTGTATATCAGATGTTTAATGTTTGTATTTATGTTTGTATTTATGTTTCCATTTATGTTTGTTATTATATCGACAAACAAGTGTGCTTATTTAATATCCTTGATTTGCGTTTAAGTAGCTTATCGTTTTGTTGCATGATTTTTCTTCTTAGCAATTCAGTAAGAATTTTTATTGTAGTTATTTTTTAATTTTTTTTTTTTTTGTTCTCATGCTATATAATATAAAATTTCAGATAAAATTGGAAATTTTCTCTTTTTAAAATTATTATAAAAGAATAAAACACTTATAGCTGGTTCAAGTTGAGCCATGCAAAGGAATATAAGTATTCGATGAGTGCACTTAAGTGTAGTCTTCAAAATACATTTAAATTAGCTAAAGTCATATTTATATATATTTATATGAACATAAATATATATAAGTAAATAATTACTTATTTGCAAAAACAGAAAAAAAATTAAGACATATATATTATTAAATATAAAGGTTTGACAAAAAATTACTATAATTTAATAAATCTTTCGTTCTTACCGATGAACAATCCGATAAACTATTAAAAAAGTATTTATCGAATATCTATTTATCTTATTTATCTAATATCTATTTATCTATCTGTAATGTGTATTAATAGGAATGCACAGTTTATCTACGTTGTGTTCTACACAGCAATGACCACAGAGAACCGCTATCTAAAACAGACTATAGAGTACTAACAAGGCTGTACACAGAGTTTTGCTGCGTACCTTATAAATAGAATTAGTCGACAGTGATATTGGATGGAGCATATTATTAACCAGTGTCCAGAACATTGAAAGATTAAGGCAAAAATGCCTAGATGATTAATGGTACTTAAGTTGAGATGACGTCAAGGCAAAAGGATATGAAAGAACATAGTATCTGCTACCATTCAGCATTAATGAGATTAAGACAAAAATACCTAGGTGATTCATGCTTCTTGAGTTTAGTTGGTGTTATAGCAAAAAAAAATTGACCAGAATATATAACTGTCACATCCAACTATAATAAAACTTAAAGGCAAAATGCTGAATAAATCTATGGTTCTTAGGTTATATGACGTCCAGGCAAGAACATTGTGACAACGAGCATATAACACAGTGTATTTTTGCAAGAATACAGCCAATCCATGGGTTCTTCGGTTTTGATTGGTGCCGGAAGATTAAAGGGGTAATTTAATAGCGCATATTATCTACCAATGTCCAGCAGTAATGAAATTATGACAAAAAAAAAACCTAGGCGATCCATGATTCTTAAATAGCGTCAAGGCAAATGGACCATATTATCTATCACTGTCCAGCATTAATGAGGTTAAAAGTAGGGCAAAAATACTTAGCCGATTCTTGGTTCTTTGGTTTAGATGGTGGCAAAATCCAGAGTACCGAGATACATGCAATTCATTAGAAAAATTTCAATTTTATTCGATTTGACAATGCTACTATATTCGTAAAAGCTTCTTGTATTCCCATTGGCCACAATAAGGGTCTATTAGATCCATGTGAGCTTACCAACTCTAATCTAACGACCTTTGTAGTTTCATTTAATTTTTTACTTACATTGACTTATTAACCCACTTCTTTTTTACACATACAATAACTACTTGAACTTACTATATGGTACCATTATTTCCTTAATAAAACTATATCTTTTACTTATTCGGAACTTGGTATTAATGTGAATAATTAGATGAATTATAATAATTAAGTTCTAGTCTACCTTAAGATATTAGTGATGAATAACGCAAGTTTGTGAAATCAGTTTATTAATCTAAAACTAGTTTCATTCAAGCTGCTTGACATATAGGTGTTCCATTTTTAATACAAGCATATTTTATGCCAACATAAAAATTATTTATTGCCTACTATAATTTATTTCAATTTCTTTCTAATTAATACTCAGGCCTCTACTACAAGTATTAAACATAAAATGAATCAACTTTCTTGCGTGCTTATTCCATACTCTATTCCATAAATCTCTCTCACCTTTACTAAATATCAAAATTATATTTTCTTAACTAAGTACGTGAAGTAAAAGGAGGCAGCGAAGCAGACCATCCATAATATCTTAAGCCTCATAAGATAGAACAAATAATGAAAATCAAATTCAATTCGCATAAATGGAACCACAAACTTTTCCCAAAACAAAAACAACAATTCACAAAATAACTTTAATTCCTTTTCTGCTCGAATTGAGTTCTCTAAACCATAACTATACATCTATAGTCTACAGTCACCAGTCACCAGTCAGCAGTCCTTCGCATACATTCCGCATGCATATTGTAATTCAATTATCCTTTTATACGTTTCATTTGGTTTCTGTTGCATACTTGCAGGGGCATAACACTGTTTCCACCATTTTTACTTGATTGCATTATTATTTTTATTTCCATAATTCTTTTCTCTTTTCTTGCTTGTTTTATTATAACTATTTTTTTTATTTTTTTATTTTAATATATCTTGGTTTGCTCTCCATTGTCTTTTACAGTATTTTGTCGTACCCTTTTTCAATTTATACGTTTTGCTCTATTTAAGCTCCATTCATGCCATTGTCCTTTGTTTGCTTGCATGTATGCCACATCCTTGCACATATTCGTATCTGTAATTGTGGCTGTCTGCATTGGATTTGCGTTGGCTTCAATTGGGGCAGATACTCATATTCGCAGCTGCGATAAGTTTGCTTTATTAGTTTATTGTTTGCGCGACGCGGCTTATGCGCTTGTCTGACTTTTCTCAACAATGAAATCTTAAGTTTTCTTGCATAATTTATTTCTATTATTAATCCTTGTTTAGTTATCATTCCTTTCATTCCATTTTGCTGATTGCTTTAAGCTATTTATTACGTGCATCTCGCACGAGATATATGAGATATTTATCATATTTTCCTTTTTTCATCCACTCAATGTTGCCTTTATTAACAATGTAATGAGATACTCTTAATGCCGTGAGTGCTATCCATCTTAGACGTCAACAATTAGCAATAGTACGTTTTGAGATGTGGAGGGTTTAATGCGATGGGTTGGAGTTTGAGTATTTTATGTGGGAATCATATATAACTCCTTTTGTTGAATTTGATGATAGCATCAATGTTAATATTCTTACAAATTAGTGTAATTTTAACAACTTTGATAACTTCTGATAAAGACTTCAGTTGGTTATAGTAAGAAACTTAATAGAGATGTTACTTTCCAGCATTTACAAATTTGCTGAACTATAATTTTGATATTTAGTTACAAAAGAAAATCAGTGCAGCTTACTTTAAAAAGTATAAAAATTAGTATTACATTTTTCTTTACCACAAAATATGTTACAACTCACAAATAATCAAACCTTTTTCAGTAACTCTAAGAAAACAGTAAATTTAGAATGAAAGCACAAGTCACAAATAACAAATAATGCCGCCAACTAGTGATTCATATACATAAATCTATTTTAAATACTCAATACTTCAAGAAGTAAGCTATATTGATATTAAGAAGTAACTGTGATACTCCACAAACGATTTTAAAGCTTGAACTATTAGCAAAAAAGATTATGTTAAGTGTTTGATGGGTTTGGAAAAGAATTATCTGTTATGCACTACTCCAGTCTGGTGCAATGGTGCATTTGACACACTACTGTTCGCAACAAGACTGATCAAATGAAACAATCAAGGAAAAGCGAACATAATGGATCAAGGGCAATGAGAGTTGCGTTCTCTCATGACAAGGTCAGGCTACACATATCTTTGATGACTTGGAACAAATAGACGGAACTTGATAGAAAACTCTTCATCGGATCGTATAATTACCATTAGTTTCGGTCTGTCTAAAATTTATTAATGGTAAAAAATTGGCTAACTGTAGATCGGGTGAAAAACACTTAATCAAGACGCCAATAAACCACAAAAGTTCTACCCCAACTTAATTAAGAAGTTTAATTAATTTTAACTGAATTAGAAGACAAAAGGTCATATATAATAATCTCTAATATATGACTGAATAAAATTAATTCTTAATCAAGAAAAATTGTTGTTAAAAAGAATACCAAAAAATAGCTTTATTATACTTTATAGCTTATATTATACGATACTACTATTTCACCTAATAGTAGTAGAAAATGTTGTACAAAATAAAAGTTTTTACTAAAATCCTTTAGCAAATGGACGTACTCGGAAAATCGAAATCATGCCTGTGTAACAAATTCTTTTTCATCAGTTTGAATTTATATCAATCTTTAAAGAAATTTGAACTATCTCATCCTTACCGACTTCCTAACGATTTTTAAGTTAATATTAATTCTAACTTTTATATTGCCTTTTCATACCATTTTATTTCGGATAACTCTTACAAATCAATGCCAACAATAAAGACCCCAGCATCTAATACTTTTCACAAAATTCTTTTACAAAGTTATTTGTTTATTGACCTACAACCTAATAAATATTTTATCGTAGCCACAACTCATATATCAAAATGACAGGCTCATTATACGGTATTTTTTTTTTGTTCTGCTCTATCTTCACATTCAGATAAATCGATTTAGAATATATAACAATCGAGATTTTATGACGCACCAAGTGCAGCAGCTTTCCACTGACAATATTCTCACACTTGGTCCATCGTTACCAAGCTGCGACTCCGTAACGTCTGCCTCCTACCTACTGAGTATATATTTGTCTGTATGTTTGTGTGCATTTCACACAAATGCCAATATCAACAAAAGCAACGTAATCAATAGATTATTTACAGATATAATTCACAGATACACGCATACAAATATACTATACATCACATTCAAATTCGCATTCCCATTCCCAATCGCATGCGGATTCGGATTCGTATATGAGTCCGCATCGAAGTCTGATTTTCGCATTCATATTCATACTCGCAATAATAATCAGTAGAAAAATAAATAAAGATTTTCCTTTATGATTTATGGCGTACAAAGTCTACCGATGCGTTTTATCGCTACGATACAAAATCGCTTTTGTGATGTTACTTTTCACTTTATATCTTTTTATTTGTATTTTTATATTCATTTTAATATTGATTTATAAAGTATTCCTCCGCCATAAACAGGCTGTTGTGGTAAGGTCATGCAGTGGCAGTGTAGGCGCCCTCAATTTTTATTCCGCAACACAAAAAAAAAACCAGCAGTGAACGAAAAATGTAGTGAAAATTGCTATTGTTGTAAATATTGCAGTTACTAGGATTAATGAGTTTTTCAAGTAATCAATGCATTACAATAAGTGACGAGTTAATCAATTAAAATATTGTTGACAATTAATTTATTACTGCCATTTTTTTCTACAACAAACAAAATTTAATTAATTTTGGGTGCTTGGTAATAATTATGCTTCCACACATGTAAATAACAATTATTTTTATTAACTAATTATGCTATAAACCATACAACTAATAAGCGAACTAACTTATATATAACAAATGCTATATTAAGTATTTTCCATGTGCACTAAAACCCCTCCAAAAATGGTTTAATAACATATAATATTTCAAAAATATATTTTCAAATATTTAAATATTCAATTTCAATGTAAATATATTCAACTTCAATTGAAACATGTTCAACTTTAATTTAAATATGTTCAATTTCATTTTAAACATATCTAACATTATTTCAAAATTTCACCACTGTTTTGGACTATAACAAAAATCCCACCACTTTCATTCCATTTCATTAATTTGATTTGTTCAAATTTACTCAATTGAAATTTATAAACCTTTATAAAATTATTCACCATTATTAGAATCTCCAACAAGATCACCAACAACAACAACAGCAACAGTAACTCCACCACCATTGTTGCCCAACATAACACAAACAACAAATATTTCAACTCAATCCCTACAACAGCGGCAACAACAAATAAAAACACCCACAAAACAAACACGTAATCGACAACGTATGTTGGCGAAAACTTCACCAAGAAAACAGGTGGTGAATATAGCAGCTGCCATAACTGATAGTGTAACTAATATAACCTCGCAGACAACAACTACAACGACCACAACAACACCAACTATAGCTGGTAGCAAATTTTCCATTGGTCAATTAATTTGGGGTCCTGCACGTGGTTATCCTGCATGGCCGGGTAAAATTGTGAAAATGCCTGAAGACGTTTCTACTCCATCACAGAAATATGAAACAGTTTGGGTGCAATGGTTTGGTGGTGGTGGACGTTCTACTACTGAGTTAATAGCGGTCAACTCGTTACAGAGTCTTTCCGAAGGTTTAGATGCACATCATAAAGCCCAAAAGGACACAAGAAAGTGAGCAAATTATTTGTGTTGTTAGGATATCTGAATAAAAGAAATAGCAATAAGATAGGTTTTTAATATAAAATTAGTTCTAGGAATTAGGTGGTGAAATTTTTAAAGTAAGAAATTATTGTAAGGTTAAAGAAAATAGAGAAAAACATAGTAAGACTTTATTATATGTGGTGTGTTAAGAGTAAGAAAGGTTAAAGAGAATAAAGAACCTTCCAGTTAGACATTTTTGTATGTGGTGTATTAAGAGAAAGAGAGGTATAAAAGTTAAAGAAAATTAAGAACAATTACTTTACTTTTTATTCTAATGTAAATAATATAAAAATATGTCATAGAAGCTGGTGGGTTCGCAGATAGTCATAAATATAAAAGAATAATACGCATATAAAAAAGAAGACCGTGAAATATTAATAATGTCGGTATATCAGTGATTAGATCATCGATGTGAGTCTCAAAGAGAGATATAAAAATTAAAGAGAATAAAGAACCATTTCAATATATTGAATTTTTATGTAAATAATTTTCGAGCATCGAAGCTATTGAGATTGAAGACAGTGATAAATAAGAGAGAAAAATAAGTATTTAAGGATATCGAAATATTATAATGTGGTTTTCTAAGTGTATAACTCATTATTGTAAGTGAGGTGTCAAGAAAAGAGAGCCATTAAAACTAAGAGAGAATAAAAAACAATTTCTTTACTTTCTACTGTGATGTAAAAAATGGATTAAAGACAGTGACAATTAAACAATGTAAGAAGTATTTAAGTAAGAAAACAAGGGAATATAAGTAGTATAGGTAGAGTGCAACAATACAGGGGGCAGTAACCCAGCTAAAAATATTACCCGTGATGTGTGACTATTAGTGAATTAGTATATGAATTTAAAAACAAAATATTTAAAAATCGGACTATATGAAAATGTTATTCTTAAGCTATAGAATTTGACATAAGGTATACTTATAAGCATAGGGTAATAAGTATAGGAACGAAGATTATAGATTTGCTCTCTGTCGCAATTTTTTAGATAGGGTATTAAGTCAATTCCAACCTACCACTCACCTTGATTTGACATGGAATATTAGTAAATTTCAATATTCTGAGTTTTTCTTTCTACTATAGCTAATTCTTTGAGATATCGGGCTTTGCAAAGGTTATGATATCTGAATAAAAGTAAAAGTAATTAGACAGACACACTTTAGATGTCAAATGAGTTCTAAAAAATATATAATAAAATTTTTAAATATGGTAAAATATAAATTTTTTATATAAAAAAACAACGATAATTGTTGTTAATGGTCATTGGAATAATCAAAATAAAAATTGCAAACAATATTTGACGTGTAGCCTTCTTATTAATATACAGAGTTTATACCTTCAAATATCCAATATTGTGCACTAAGCTAAATCCATAGGAAATGTACCAAAAAATATTACTCAGAATATTGAAATATAACAAAATAGGTGATAAATCACAGCGTCTGAGAAATCGATATCCCCAGATCAATAAATATAAAAGTAAAAAAACAGTAAATAAATTAAAAAAAATTATCAAAATTTTAATTACGTTTGATATAAAATTTTTTTTTATTTTTATTATGGATTATTTATTATTGATTTATTATTGAATTTATTATTACCTTTTTTATTAGTCGTAGGAAATTGTTACTTGATTTTATAATAATATTTAAATAACTTGTAGTTAAAATAACTATATAAGCAGCAATCTTATTTTTAAAATTTTTAGCACAATATTTTTTTTTTATTCTTAGAATATTTTAGTTTTAGTAGTTGCAAACCTATTGAGATTTATTTTTTGATTTTAGTAACATTAGTCTAGAATACATTAAATAAATATATTGATTTTTTAAAATATTTAAATACATATATATATTATTATATTTAAAAATTTATTTTAAATTAATTTAATTTTTTTTCTTTTCTTTTTTGCTTTTTTCATTTCAAATCATTTACTCAACAAAATAAAAAAAATATGCATCTCTATATATATTATATGCATTATGAAATGAATATCCGCCTGTATATATTGTACATAAACCACAAAACACCACACAATTTCACATACTCAACTTACCATACTCCAAACTCAAACAAACTTCAACACACACACGAATTAACACAACAAAAGGAGCCGAAAATTAAATTCACAATTAGAACGCGCCATACAAGAAGCAATGATTCGAATTGGATCGTATTTCAGCTAACTCAACACTACGCAACAATGTGGGACATAAGCAAATCCAACAACCAACATCCACTTCGAACAATAACAACAACAACACAAGTCCAAATCGTAATAAACGTGCCATCGGTACGACTATACAACGCATCATTAGCAATGGCGCTGTGCACACTACAGCTGCTACAGCCGGTTTTACAATTCTACCAGCCAACAACCATCACTCAAACAATCACAACCACAACAACAACAACAGCAACGGTATTTCAACTACAACAACACTCAATCATACAGTAACACTGCAGCGCAACAAACCAATACGCATTGCGCCAGCGCCACCAAGCGGCACAACAGCGAACTCAATTGCAAATGCTAACTCAACAAGTAAAATGCTAACCACAGCTGGAAGCAAATGACCTTTGGGATCTGTTTGTGCAGCACAAGTTTCGTGGTCAACCTATACACTAGTCATTCACAATAAGTAAGACTTACTTACTTGAAAAGTGTATTATTGTGAATCGTTTTTTTTCTTAGTTTACACTCAACAGAAAATAATTATTAAATATATTATTTACTTATTGTAATAAAATATTACAAATAATTTTTTTCGTCTTTAAAAAATTATATGAAATAAAAACAAACAAATCGGTAGTAATACATAAAAAAAAAGCAAAATTACAATGAAATGAAATAAATTAACTCTGAAAATAAAAAATTAATTAATTTCTAAGAAAATGTCACTGTCGAATTAAATTTAAAAGGCTCGAATCTATGAACTAAATTTAAAAAATAAAATAATTTTTTCTTTGAATAAACTATATATCTTTTGTAGCGTTTTCTGAATTTAACGCTTTTGTAAATTTTATTGTTGAAAATTTTTATTAATTTGTTAAATATTTTTATAAACAAATGAACAACAACAACATAATAATAATTTTAATTTGTAAATATTTTTTAATTAATTTGTAGAATTAAAATTAAACACAACAACAATAAGAAAAAAATGTTTAAGTAAAAATAAGTTCACATATATATATTTTATTGTGAGTATTAATTTATAATAAAAAACATTTATTTATAAAAATAAAAAAGATTTGTACAAATTATTGCAAAAACCACTTATATATATATCTATAAATACATAAATATATTTATATTTATATATATGTAATATTTCTAATTGTTAAATATGTACTAATTTTATTTAAAACTTTCTTGCTTGCGTTTACGATAGCAATAATTAATTTTTATTTAATTTTAAAACGTTTTATTGTTTTAAGAAATCATTTTATTAAGCATTTTTTATTTTATAATATATTTTTCTTTTTAATATATATCAAACAACATAAATGAAATAGACAATAACTTTTATAAAAACTTAACAAATAAAATATTAAATAATTTGTTATTTTATACATACAATTTTTTATTAAATTCCTTTTTGTTTATAGTTTTAATAGCAATTTTTTTTTAAATTTAAACAATGTAATTTATTTTTTATATGTTAAAAAGTGCAGTTTTTTGTCTAAATTAAATTAAATTATTAAAAAGAGTTTGAACAATACTTTTAAAATATATAAAATAATTTTATATATATTTGCATAAAATTTTTTATTAAAATTTATTTTAATTTACTAATTTCAACATTTAAATTATACTATGAAAATATTTTATAAATTGAAAAATTGTAAAAAATATATAATTTTACTAATATTTATTATTTTATGGCCAAAATTGTTTATATATCGATTGGTTTTTAAATATGTAATTGTCAGTTTCCTGAAGACGACTTTATATTAAAACCGAAATATTCCGAATATTAGTGTAAATTAATTTAAATTGTTTTTGTTAATTTTTATTGGTAACAAAAGTTAAATTATTTAATTGTTATAATTGAATTATTAGCGCAAAATAACAGAATATATATAATTTGATAATTACATGCGGAACTACACAATAATATTTTTTTAACCTAATGACGTGTCTTTCTTTTGTTAGTAAATAAGAAAATATATACTAAATATATTAAAATCATAAAAGTATTAATTTCAACAAACATGAAACGTTATGTAAAACGAATAAAAACATTTTTTGAAACAAATTATAAATAAATTTATAAAATACAAATAAGTAATTTTTATTTAAGTAAATTTCTGGACTAACCATAAAACTGTTTTAATTAAGAACCATTTTTTTTATAGCGAAATTTTCTCAGAATTAACTTGTTTTTATAAGAAATAGGTATGTTATAATAGATAAAAAGGTTTTAATTAAAAAATATGTTTTGTTATTCTATTATGAAAGTCTATTTAACAATTTTTCACTATAAACATATAGATATATAAACAATTCTATTATTTTCATTAAAATAAAAACTGCACTAATTTCCTTAACAATAAAAAAAAAATTTTTATTGTAAAATTATATTTAAAACACATCGTATAGTTATATTTTTTTTCTTTTTCGTTCTGTTATTTATGTTTAACGTGTAATATTGTTTTTGTTGCAAATTTATTAGAATTTTTTTTATTAAATATATTGTTTAGCATTTAAATTAGTCTTAAGTAGTTTTATAAAAAATAAAATATGCAAAAATAAACAAAAAACTAGAAATCAAAATGTTGCTAAAAACAATATAATATAATACAATAACATATATATTATAATGAAATAATAATGAAAATAAAAACATAAGTTCTTATATAAAAATATTTCAAAACAGAATTTAAATTTATAATTGTACAAAATAAGCTTAAAAATGTAACAAGCAAAAACCAAAATGTAGTAGAAAAAAATATTAATTTACTAAAAAAATTGTTTAATTTTAAATTATTACCATATAGCAACCATATATAGAATATGCAATAAAATATTCAAAAGAAAAATATAAAAACAGTTTACATTTAGTTATAAAAGTGAACAATAAAATATTTACTTGAGTTATAGTATAAGTACAAAAAAAATATTATTTCAAATAAAAAAAATTATTTTAAATAGCCATATAAAGGAATAATATTAAAAACCGAGCTGTTTAAACCATGTGGCTGGCTATATAAACATAATGAAAGAAATGGATTTTTAGAATAACCAAGGAGGCTTCTTGGTTTTTCTTCAGATTTTTCTTATTTAATGAGTCTCCTCAATTATGCGTACTTACAAGGAATCTGTTGTCATTTCAAAAATCGTTTTGCAGAAACGGCATATATAGGTCTCTGAGAGAACAATTTTTCTTAGATGTGGTACTACAATTTGCAGGTTCGTTCAGAAACCTTTTGAGAATTTTAACATATTTTCTGCTTAGTGCAAGTTGTCTCTTTTTTAATCTGTCTATGGTCTTAAGAGTTCGTTTAAATGTTCTTAAATTGGGATTTTATTCCGTGTCTGAGTTCTGACAAAGTCTAAGACCACCAAGACCGTTTGGTTATCAGACTTTATATTGATAGTTGCTCAATATTTGTTTCCTCTCAGACTTTCAAGAGTAAATTAAGAAAATTAAGAAAGGTAGATCATTGTATGCCTATCATAGTGTTAGCATCCTAAATTTTCGAACTGTATGTCAGACTTTGGAACTCCCAAACAGAATGAATTGTAAGATTGTTAGTGAGGGAATGAAGATTATAGTACACATGCCATAATGTTATCATCCTTTAGTTGCGTCCTATATATCTACGAGTTTTATGAACTCAGAAAAGCATTGATATGAGGGAATGAATATCTACAATATTCCGCAATATTTCGATATTGCCATCCTCAAGTTTAGACCTCTATATCGAATTTGTAAACCCTTATTTATTTAAGTTAAAATTTCTGTACCTTTTTCTATTCGTTTTTAGTTTTTAAAATTTCGCACTTCTGTTTAATAAAAACATTATTTATTTTTAAAGAATATTTTGTTAAATTTTAATAATATTCAAAAATGATTTCGCTCTGAAAACTTTATTTTTCTACCATAAAAAAATAAAAATTTTAACTATTAACTACTACGTTATTAAACAATTTGTATGATGCTATACAATTGCTCTATATATTATATAAAATAGACT